CCATAAAGCCTGAACCCTGAACCATAAACCCAGACCCAACCTCTGAACCCCTAATCCCGAGCCCCCCTCCTCCTGCGCCCTTCCGTCGAACTATAGACACCTAATCCTAACCCCACAAACATGATCCCCCCAACCCCTAAATGCCCCCGTCCCCTCTCGGGTGCCTCTCCTTGCTCCTGACTTGCGTACTTCAGCAGAAACGCCTTCCCTTGCTTGATCTAGGGCCTCCGTCAGCCTCGGGTAGCGGTTAACGCCCTGCCGGGCTGTTTGGGTAGTTGGTTGACCCTTTCGGCTGCGTTCCTATTGCTCCGGTCCAGGGGTTAGTTTGGGTGCTGGAGGGCTGGTTGAGTTTGCCCTGCTTGTCTTGTTGGTCCTTCAGTTCGGTTTCGCTTTTTTTAATTCCTCGTGATTCTTTAAGGCCTCCCTCCCTCTCTCCTCGGGTACCCTTTTCGGGTGCTTCTGCTTCCTCGTGTGTTCAGACATTTGCTGCTGCGTTTTTAGCTTTCCTCAACTAGATATCCTTCACTCCTTCCTCGAGACTTCGTCCTGGGTCGTCGGTTCTCCTATTGGACCTGCTTCCCACTGCTCCTTTTGGATCTTGGGGCTACAGTGCTCACTTCAAGGCTCCGTAACCAACCCTTATCACCCTCCGACCTACTGAAAATAGGCTCCTGCCTGCCCCAGAGAAGATCCTCCAATACGCGTATGCCCCAACCCCCAACCCGACACCCACTATCCCCACTGCCGCACCTACCTTCGCCCCATTGTCAGATTCCCCGCTGGATTGATGTTCTCCGGGTTGTGTCGCCCCTGGGGTGTTGGTGTCTTTTTTGTTTTGGGGTGCTTGACTTTCGGGTGTTGGTCTGTTTACCTGAAGCTCCCCAGCCCCCCTCTCGGGGGTGTCTTTCATGTGGTGACTTCGCTCGGCCGAGATTTGTTCGACGTGTTGTGTTGAGGGGGCTTGTGGCTTTGACTCTTCGGCTTTTGGGAGGGTGTCCTCTTGTCGTTGTTGTGGTTGTGGGGCAGCGTCTGTTTTGCCTGTTGTGTGCCCCAAGTCTGGTGCTTGGGTTGTGGTTGCGGGTTCAGGGGGCTGCATCAGCACAGCCTCTGACTCTTGGGGTTCTGCTGGGGGTGGAGGAGGTGGGTGCTGACTCGTTGGCGATTCAGGAGATTTTCTTGCCCCTGTGTTGGGCCTGCGAGGGGCTTTGCCTGCTTCCTTGATTTGGTTGTTGCTTGGAGACTGTGAAGCCATCAGATATCTTCCCATGTCGTCTCCACCTATACTGAGCCTGCCGGAGCCTTCGCTTTTTGGGGTCCAGAGTTTTCTCTTTTCTTCGTAAATCCACTGTTTGGCTTCGGGAATGGATTCTGGCCCCCTCCGTAACCAACCACTCAGATCATAACTATGACAATCTGGACAACACTTCCTCATAGCCATATAGACACTCAATAATAACGAAAATGCTGCTCCCGAACACTTTTCACGGTTATTAGATGTGTTGCATTGCCTTTTCTGATAGTCCCACTTCCATTGATCGGTTTGATAAAATCTCTGCCAATCGTCTGCCTTTACCTCCAATTTCTCGTTATACTTCGCGCATACCTTGTCATACTGCTTTGGGTCCCACTCCCCTCGACCTCTTCTGGTTTGCCTTCGAAAGCCGAGCAATATACATACTATCATCATTAAGGCTATCTGTGTATTATTATTGTCGTTCCATCCAGCATCTTGATTCTTGTTCAAATATCCTGCCCAGTGATCTCTCGTCCAAAAGGTGACTTCGTTGTTCTCTTTATTTGCCTCTGAATGCTTTGCCACTTCCATCAACTTATTCATGATACATGTCAATAAGTCACTCCAGGTCACCGACTGCTTTCCCGAGTTTGTTCCACTCTTTAATCCTGTGCTCCGCGTATCTACTAGTTTCTGGAATTTTCCCCATCCCCCTTTGTTGTTGTCGTTCAGATCCCCCGTCCAGTTGTTCAATCCTAACATAGCTCCTTCTCTTCTTCCAATTGCGTGCTTGAGACAGAACTTCCCAGTCCTGTCCCCTCCCCCGCAGTTGGTGGTATACACGTTCTCTACTCCTTCTGCCACCCCATCGGTTGCCAAGGAGTCCAATTCCCACTTCACCCTTGGGGCTGGCATTGTTCCTTTAATTTTCTGGGGCTCCCTCTCTGATAATCCAGTCCTTCTCTAGGATCTTTACCTTCCTCTTAGCCGCCTTAAGTTTTGTTCAGACTTCAGCTGTCCTTTGACCTTTATTGGTTCTATTGGAGTTTTTATACTTGATATACCCTGTCACCTTTTCCGTTGCCTTCGCCTGTATTTTCCGGTGGTTATTGGTCTCCTCTTAAGGGATTCCCTGAAGTTCTGTTCCATGTTTCTTTATTTCTGGGGGGAATCTCTGCCTTGTCATATTTCCTGACTTTTCCCGGCGGTTAGCCAGAATTCTTCTCTATATTTAGCTTTTTCTGCTCATTCTGTTATTCTCTTCCTCTCAGGACCTCCTGGGGAGAGCTCCTTGGTCCTGACTTCGGACCCGCTTTCTCGACTTGTTGGGGGATCGTCCCCCTTCTCCGGTGTGGGTCAGGTCTCTCTCCTCTCCTACTCTATATCATGCCTCCGATTCCTTCGCTGTTGGGTTTTTGCCTCTGATTGGTCTGTTGTTGGATATCTGCCCGGGTGTTCCTGTCTTGCCAGTCAGTCCCTTAATTTGGAGATTCCTGTTTCTCGTGTCCAGCACTACCTCCCGGTGGTCTGGAGTTGTTTTCTATTCTTAATCCTAGAATTAGGTGCTCTGTTCGGGGTTTGGATCATTGGTCAGGAGGTTGTGCTTGCGTTCTGCTATTCCGAACTCCTCTCTTCTCCTGCGTGAGGCTCTCCTCTTGGACTGATATCTTAATTGGAATCATGTTCTTCTTTAGCCAGCCTTGGTTGCATTTGTATCTGAGTCCTGGAGACGTGCTTCTATTGCCTCCTTCTTGTCGTCCTATCTCCAGGTCCTCAGTCCTTTTGGATTTTCGCGTTTTTCTCTTTCTTAGACGCCTAATATACTTGTTCCTTGACTCCTTATTGGGCTGCCCTTCCCTTCCTTTGATCATCTGTTCTAGTGTGTGCTTTCCTCTAGTTTGCTATGTTGATTCGTCCTTATTAGCTCCCTGTTTCTTCTGAATCTGCGTTATGATTCCCATCTTGGCTCCTCCTCGGAACACTCCTGTGCCTCGGGGGCTTCACAGTCGGTTGATTCTTTCGCTTCCTTTAGTCGTCACCCGTTGCCATGGGATCGTTCTTACTCTGCTTCTCCTTGTTTTATCTCAGCCGCTCCCTGGTATCTTTTTCGACTGTAATTGCTAAACGCTTTCTTTTATCGTGCCTGGCTGAGACAGTTCCTGTTGTTGGCGTCTTTTGCTCCTTCCTTAATTCCTTGTCGATTTTCTTCAGCTGCCCCCTCGGTCCCTCATCCCGTGCTCTGAGTCTCTGGCTCACAAATGTATCTTCTCCTTCTGCTTCTTCTCAGAAGAACCCCTCCCGTGTCTGACGTGCCTATTCTGTCCTTTTTCCTTGGAGATCGCTCACCCTTACAGCTTGGGCTTCTGTTTCTTCTCTTTCCTTCGTCTTTGCGTTGGCCGCCTCTTCCCTTCTTTCTTTAAGTGCTTCCGGGTCCAGCGGTGGGCTACTGTCTCGGCTCCCTCGAGCCTATAGGATTACCATCTCCTTCGATTTTCGTTGACGTCCGAGTGGTCCTTCCTCTCTTGCTGCTAGAATTTCTTCCCCTTTTGGATTACCTCTTTATCTCCCCCTTCCTAGATACTTCTTATATTTGCCCCTGCTGGTTTTGACAGTTAGGTGACAAGCCCTTCCCCTGTCTCCTGATGAGCTTGATCCATGCCTCCTCTAACTCGATCTGTTGTTTGCGGGGCCTATAATATCATTTAGCTCCTGTCTGATTGGGTGTTGGGATGGCTTCGATGCTTGCCGTTTGGGCGGTTGCTCTCCTGGACTCATCCAATTTTCTTTGACTTTCTACACCGCAAATGGAATTCTTGGAATCCTGGAGGATCTGGCGGATAGTCCTTATTTCCCTAGTCTCTGTGTCCTTTTTTGACGTTTGTTGCCCCTGCTTTGGGCTCAGGGAGTCTTCACCTGAGTCATGATCTCTATTTACCCTTATCGTCCTCCTTCCTTTCCTTCAGCTGTTGGTTGTCCGTTGGCCTTGGCTCTGGAACCGCCTTTCGGCCCCTGTGATGTGGCTTCACCTGACTTTTCCCTTTCTTAAGGCATAAGTAACTCGGTCCCTAATTTGTCTAACTCTTTCTAGCCCCTTGTTTATTAGTTGATGGTGCCCCTTCCTTTTCCCCTAATTGGGCTTAGAAGTGGGGCGCAAGGTTTGCATCGATGGGATTTCCTGTTTAGTCCGCTCCTTGCGGTAACGTTTGGATTTGTTTCACCCTATTAGGTCATCCTATAGTGAGGTTGGCTTGTTCTTGCGGGTTTAGTTAATCAGCCTCCTTTTTTCCAATTGGCTCACAACTTTATTCCCTCGTCCTTCTGGGTGGAGAGCCGGGTTGCTTTCGTTATCCGCCCTTGTGATTATTGGGGAGGCTGATTTTTTCTCCCTAACCTTTTGGTATGTCCTATAGTTGTTATCCTTTGGTTTTTGAGTGAACTGTCTTGCTCAGTACTGTTATCGGGTCTGACTTAGTCATGCCATTCGGATTCCTTTATCTTGGCTCCCTTTGGATTTATGGTGGTTTTTCTTTTGGTTCGGAACTTCTGTGTTGTTGGTTCGGCTACGGCTATCTGGACTCCAATTTCTGTTGTTTGCTTTTCTTTACTTTCTTCCTTCGTTCCAGATTTCTGGGCCCTACTCGGCTTCTCAACAGACCTCTTCTGATTTATATTGGCTCGTTGGGTGTACTTTCTTGTTAAAGTAATCTTCTTTTGCATCCGGACCAGTGATCCCCTCGTTGACTGTTTCTGCCGTCCACCTCTTATTCGGAGTTCCGTAGCTGGTTGTTATTAGCTGTGTCTTCGGTATCTAGAGGGCTTTTATTTCTGAAGGTTTTCTCTCTGTTCCTTTTTTTTCTCCTCCTATATTTTTGGAGCTGGAGTCTACATTTTTTCATGTCATCGTTTCCTGGTTTCGTATAGTTATGGACTGTTTCCGTGGGGGTGCCTCCCTCCTTTAATGCCTACCTGCATTTGGAATTTGTCCTTCTGATTGTTCGGAATACTTGATTCCTGTTTGTGGCCGGAGGCTTGTTCTTCTTATTCTGGGTCAGTCCAGTACTAGTTGTGGGGGATCTATTCGGTTTAGATTCTGGCTTCTGTTTCATTGACTTCTTACGTCGATGAACTTCCTAGTTTTTGTTTTGATCACCTTTGACTTTTAATTTTTTCGGAGGACACTTACACAAACCCCTCGTTAGTGGGAGTTTGCTTCTTTGGCGGTCTCTTTCCATTTCTTCTGATTTTTCCTGTGTTGGCTCCTCCTTTGTTCTGTTTTTTTTTATTCTCTACTCACTTTGGTAGTCGTCGTCGGACTTCTCCTATGTGGCCAGTTGGCGGGAGTTTCTTGCCTCGCACTGTCTTTTTGGTTCTTGACTTACGCAATTTTTTCCCAATTTATTTTTTTGTGAGCACCTCCAGGCTTCGACTGAGATCAGGATTGCTTTGTTTTTGAACTTTTAAGATTTTGCCCTAGTGGGGTTCCTATCTTTTGTCGGCGTGTCCTGGATCTATAAGCGGTCCCCTGTTGTTCATTTGGTTATTTCGCTGGTGTGTCTCGCTTGCGGATGTTTGATTTAATTTTTTGCTTTCTGTTTCTCCTTGTATCATGTAATTTCCAATCCTTTGGGGGCTTCTACTGTTATTAGCAGATTTTTCCTTGTTATCCTAATGGAGGGGTTTCCTGTTTGGGTTTTAGTTGTTTGATATTCCTTCTTTCTGGTTGTTCCTTCCTCAGTCTTGGGTTTGTTGCTCATCAGGATTTCCGGTTTGGCTGCCGTCCCCCTTTAGCTGCTTCCGCGATTTGGTTGGATTTTGTTGATTTCTTCGGGTACATCAGCGTCTAAATTGGGATTAGTTGTTGGGTCTTGTTCCTTCTGGTTGGTTTGACTTGTTTGGTCTCTAATCTCATTTTTCAGTGAGTTCTTTCCTGTCGGATGATTGGTGTGGGTCTTGGTTCTATCTTGATTTTTCCTTGGGACCTATTTTCTGAAGTTAGTTGCATGGATCCAACTCTTAAAGAGGAGATTTTCTAGGCTAAAGACTCTTCTGTTGTTGAAGTTCCGCCAGTTTTAAATTTTCCTGATCAGCCCTCTTGTTTGACATGGGTGTCTGCCTCTTATTTGGTTTCTGGCGCCATCCTGCCGGTTGGGGTTTCTGGGCTGTTTGCTTTTTCTGGAGGTTGGTGGGTTGTCTTAGTTGTAGATGCGTCTTACTTGGAGGGTTGGGGGTGTGCTGTGGGGATATTTAACGTATTTTTGATTTTTCCCTTCCCTGATTGTGCTCTTTCTGCTGTGGCTGCTGGAGGATTTTGTTCTTTTCCTGCTTCCTCTTTGATTTAATTTCTGGGGTCTGTTGTGGTGGTCCATCGGATGTCCTGTCGAGTTCTGAGCTCTCACACCTACTCAGGTTTTTCCCAGGTTGGGGTTATGTTTAGGACGTTCGGCGAGAGATTTATTTCAGCTTAGGGAAATTCTTTGGGCTTAATCTATTCGGGGTTCTTCGTGGGGAAAGTTGGATTTTATCAGGATCGGAAGATGACGGCTGTATTTGGTATTTCTTTCTTCTGTCCTAATTGTTCCCGGTTTGTTCTTGTGGCTGTTATTTCTTCTTGTGACTCTTCGTGTTTGTGGTGTCGGGGGGTTCCAGGTTGTCATGTTGGTTGGAGTTTTTCTACTGAGGTGTTCATCTCGGGATTAATTTTCTTCTTGTGGTATTGTTCGCTTCTTGGATTTGAATCTGGTAAGTTTCTTTTTCGGTCGTATTACCGTTCTTCTGGGGGGTTAAGCTGGGTTGCTGCGGTTTCGTTGCTAGATTTACCCCGGATGGGTGGTTTCTTGGGCTTGAGAGTTCATTTCTCCTTTTTTGGATATGTTATTATATGGAATTGCTCGTGAGTTAATTGTTCCTCTTCTTGTGATCTTATTGAGTTGTTGGTTCCTTTAAATGTACTTCCTGAGAATGGATTTAGATCTGTTGGCGTCGAACTTGTTTGTTTCGCATATTTTAGTGGAGGACGCCTCAGTCTCCTTCTTGGGGGTGGTGGCGGGAGCCTCCGGTTGTTTCAATTTTGGAGGGAGCTGTATTTAAATTGAGCTGTGGCTGCGGGGGGATTCGGTTGGCTTCATTTGTGATCCCCTTTGGGCGCCCTTGTGGGATTTATTTTTAGGTTGGGGATGGATGCTTTGTACTAGGGTGCCGGTTTGACTTTAAATGGAGATGGGGTTCATATTAATAGATTTTTTTTGGAGCTTTCTTGGTGTGGTGTTCGGTTGCGTCGGACGTTTCTTTGGGTGTCCTTACTCTCTCGTGTTTGGTTGTCAGATCTCTTGTTTCTCCTTGAGGTTTTTGAGCAGGCCTTTTTGGTTGGGAGATTATTTGCTCTATTCTCATGATTTGTTTGTCGGGCTTGGTGTCCCGTTACTTGTTGTCCTTGCATCGTTGATTGGGGGAAACTCTAGAGTTTTTTCTGTTTAGCTTAGTCCTCACATTGGATTTTGGCTGTCTGGGGATGTGGTAGGGATTGGGGTGGTGTTTTTGATTGTTGGGGGAGGTCAGATTCTGTCGGTTGTTCTTGGGTTTTAATTTGGTCCCTTCGTTTCTTCGTAGCCTTGATCTTTAGTCTCCAACTGCCCATCTCTACCGTTTCATGCCCTTTTGGCTGGTTCAGTTCTATCCTTCCATCCATTTTTAACTTTGGGGTCGTTGGTTAAGATTGGTGGCATCTTTTGCTGTCTTTGTTTTGGATTTATTTTAGTTCTTTTTGCTTGTTTGTTCCTTTTTTGGTTGTACTTTTGTCAAGTTGGATTGTGCTGTTGGGGTGTCTTGTAGCCTGTGTTCTTGTTGGGGGCTCATTGGATTTGTCTGGGGGGACTTTGCGGTTGGGGATATATTTGGGCTCTCCGTTTGGATTGGTTGGCTGCTTATTTTTCCCGTGATCACTTTATTTTTTATTGCTCGTTATTTGCCGGTTGGTTTTGTATTTTCCTCTTTTTTTTTATTTGATGTTTCTTCGGCTTGTGTCAGACTCGGTTGGGAGTTTTGGGCTGCTCTGCTTATGTTTCTGGAGGAATTCTTGTCGGTAATCGTCGATCCCTGGATGTCCTTGATATTATTTCATCCTGAACTTCATCTGGGTAATTAGTTTCTTCTAAGGGTGACCTTCTGATATAGGGAGGCCTCTTTCTCGGAGGCCCTTGTTGGGATTGAGTTGTATCCTTCGGTTGCTAATTGGTTTGGTTTTTTGGTTACTTAATATATCTTCTGCTCATATATTCTCCCTTAGAGAACTAAATAGTCCGGTTGGTCTCATGTCGTGAGAAGAACCTCCAGGTGGTTCTCCTGTCCTACCCTAGAAGCACATTTTGGGGGGGAGGGGTTTGGTTGGAGTTTGTTTTTCTTCTGGTCTGTGATTTCTTGATTGTCTATTTTTTTTTTTTGTGTTTACTTAACCACTCGGGGACCTAGTACGATAACTCGGAGAATTTCATATTACCCTTTTGATTGAGAATTAAATTGGTTTTTTGATTCAGTTGACTCAGAATTTGTGTGAGAAAGAGGAACATTTTTGGAATAATCTCTAGATTCTTTCATAAATTTGTGTATTTGATTTTTCCTTTTGAGATTTTCCGATTATTCCTTAGATTCTAGATGTAATAGGTTCTTGGACGGATTCAGTTTCTTATCTTAAGTTGGGATGAGGAGTTTTCATTGTTTTTGATACTCATGTCCTGGAATTATTGGGGTTTATATTCGGTTTTTCGGTTCCTTCTTCTTCTGTTTTTAGTTGGTTTTGATTTATTCAGCGGCTGGGAGCATTTCTTTTCTTTTGGTTTTGGGGAGGGTGGATCGACAGTTGGAGTTGGGGGGGGGCTGTTTTAGCTCTTTCATGTCTTAGGAGATTATTATTTGGGATACTATTGGTATATTTTGATTGAATTGTCATTTCTGAACTGATTGGATCTGTTTGAATTTCGAGTTAGTGCCCTGCAGACTTTCCTTTTCTTTGGGGAGGGTTATTGAGTCTTTGTTAGTTGTGGCTTCGCTTTGGATTTCTATGGTTCCAGTTTTCATCAATATCATTAGGTTTTCTATAGGATCACCCTAATTTTTGAATGTTTTTGGGGTTGTTTAAGATTCTTGTAATTATAAGACTTATTAATTTATAGGACTGAGTTGATATTTGGAGACAGCACTTAATGATTCTTGACATAAGGCTTCGCATTTTTCACTAGTTTGCTGATTCGTTAATTGATTTTACACTTTAACCCTTTGACGTGGGTACTAATGAAATTGAGGAGATACTAGATCTTCCTTTTCCATGACTTTCCTGATATACGAGACTCTCTAATTTCCTATTTTGCCTATAGTTATATTTGGAGAATAGACTTTGTTTTTAGGATTTACCAGGGTTGATATCTATTTAGAGTTATGATCTCAATATATGCCTTAGAGTTGATTTATAGACTAAATTGCTTTGCTCATAGGATAGGATCTGTTCGGAATTTTCCTATTAGATTTATGATTATTCCCCCTACTTTAATAGTATTCAAGTTATAGCTTCTTTGGGGCAAGTTTTGCCTTTGTGTTTTGGGAAAGGTACAAGATTGAGACGTCATTTAAAGTTTTATTGTTGTTTCCCCATTAGTTCTGAGTTGTTTTGCTGGTTTTTTCTGGTTCACTGCACCATAAAATAGTACATTTGATATATTTATACTTCCTACAAGAGAGTACAGAAATTCATCCGTATGGTTAATACACAGATTCGTCAAATCCTCGTTATCTTGTAGAGATTTGTAATTATTGATGAGAGGAATTTTTGAGATATTAAAGCTAAATAGGGAGCATTATTTTTCACTAAATATTTCTTCTTAGATTATGTCACTGGAGACGCTTTATTGGGAATTTTGGACATTATAGGCATCAGGGACATGGGTTCTTTTGTGGTAATTAGATTTTGAAAGCATATTTTTACTCTTATTGAGGCTTGTATGAGTCATTTACTTATGCTCGCTATAGATGTGAATTGTTGCAGGAGAAATAATCCATAGGGGTTTACTGCTTTTATATAATAGAGCTCTCAATCCCACCTTTTTCATATAGAAATGTTGCTTGTACAGGAAAAGAATCTGTACAGAATTAGGTGATTCATATATGATTTCTTCATTTCGTTTTGTTTGTTTAAGACTGTAGCCCCTGTTAAATAAAATATCCCCAAAGGATGAGAACCCTGCATAAGATGAATTAGAAGGGATTTGTACAGTACAGGGAAAAGGACGTAGGTCATATTAGAAGGGCTTATACATGTGATTTTCAGGTTATTCATACAGTTCACACGATTTCAATTTTGTTAAATGAATATCGTCAGTAGGATACTGTTTCACAGACTTCAGTTTTCTACACTGTCCCAATATTTATCAAATGATTCGACCATAAATTTTAAATTATGAAGGATTCAAATAACAGAACCCTTGTGCTCACTGTACATTACTGATAAAGATCCTTTGGGTTAGTGAACTCTGTTAATATACAAGTATTCTTGCTATCTTCTAGCCTCTTGCACAATAGTACAGACGCAATATGTGTATTGTTTGTACATAAGGAGACCTATGCCGCGAAAGTGTCCCTCATAGTGCAGCATGTAACACTTCAATTAACGGTATCTCATAATGATTGTTATGCCCGAAACACTATCGTACACTAACAAATATGAAACTCAGAGATTAAGACAGGAACGGAAGGTAACCCGAGAACCTTATGTTAATTCATACATACTACTCATATTATGGGTATGAAAAGAACGATTAGGGCTTTATCAAGATTACACGCAATAATAGTACACGGCCTCCTCGATATTCAAAAGAGAGCGCACAGGCCTAATATGAACACTACATATCTGAATAATCTGCAGGATTCATACGTAATACATCCCTTGAATTTTTTCTATGGGGACAGTACCCTTAAGTAATATTGGATCCAGTCATTCTATATGGGTGTATTATACAATTTACTGTCTTGTAAATCATAATGAGAAAAGACAGATTTTTTACATGAACAAAGAGACTTCTTCGAATATTTATTCTAGACCCCCCTCCCTTCTAAAATAGCCCATAGATTTGTTGTTATTTAAGGGCTTTCCTTCGTGGAAATATAATATTGATATATTCTATGTGTATACATATCCCTTATACAGGCTTATATATTTAGGTAGAAAAGACATAGTTCATAATTTAGGAATTATCCATTTAGGTAGATGTTATTGAGAAACGAGGACTACATTTAACATGTTGTCTACATAGGTTTCTAAGGTTTCACGAGGAAAACGAGATAATACATTACCAGAAGTAATTTAAAATTACACATTTCAAGTTACAACCCGCACCATATATAAAAGCATCCACAGAGGTACCTAGTCATATACGCACAATAATGGGGATTTATCATGGCCACACGATAGATTTAATATATTCCGTAATGTTTATTCGCTTATTATGTTTTACGCTATTTCGTTACAGACAGTACGTCAGCATAATTTAACTTGTTCCTTGATCTTTATCATACGAAGCACTGATAAGTGGTACCTGATCCCCTCTAAAGAAAATGATCGCATTAGTAATTAAAATAACAGGGCACGAAAAATTATACATAGATCATTATCTCATATTTGTCCCACTCTAATATTGCAAACACACTATATCGTTACCTATCATTGTATAATACTGTGAATAATACACCTATCACATTTCTTCCGTATATATGCTTGGAATATTGTATTTGGCAGTCACCATGAGCACTATTAATATGGGCCCAAATTTTGTTATTTCATGGACTTCTTGGTACATCCTCTTACTGAACGTCCACAATATTTATTTATGTTATTACAGAGAAGTTTCTATCCGAATGTTTTTTCTCATCCTGACATAATAATTTTTCTGAAAGTGGACACATCTATATAGACGATTGGAAAAGAGAGAAATGAAACCCTTAAGATAGATTCAGAATAAACATATTTATAAATCAGAGGAACCTATACTAACGAAACCAACATATATGTTAAATTGTATGCTTCTATCAATCTCCATGTCCTTTTTCTTTTAGGAGTCCAGAATAAGTTACGGAAAATTTCTTTACATGGACGATTCATGTTTCGTCTGAGCATTAGTCCCAAAGCATGAATTTGAAGAGTAATATAGCATTAAAATAGATCACGGTCTCAGTAAATGCAGATTCTTACTCGTGTCGTAGGGAATCGTTATATTTTTTATTACTTTAAAAATTTCTCTGTCCCCAGAAGGCTGCTTTTAAAAATATTTACAATGATTGAAAATTCTCGCCTTTAAATAATTAATTCCTTAGATTTCCCTCAATCATAATTCTCTCTGGGGCCGATTGTGAATACAAGACTATATCCGCCTGTATTTTATGTTATCCTAACTTCATGTTATAATTTTCTCGTAATGAAATGCACCCTTCGGCGAAAGTTGTAGGTGTATTCTACAGTCTCTTTGTTTTTGTAAACGTCAATTGTTATATTGTAAACTCCGTGTATGAATCAGAATTCGAAACATGAAATAAAAGATAATATCAACATATAAAAATTCGAAAGGTAGGTTTAAAGTGAATATGATATTTACCCCCTTCCTCTAATATAATCGGTATCTCAAAATAGGAACTATCTTGTCCAAGTAGCATTCAGAATTAAATTAAAAGTGGTTTAACTCTTCCACATTCCCCAGGAAGGCATTCTGCTTAGTTGGTCCTTCTCGAGTGCACTGGAATTTACAGAAGCAGCTTCTTATTATGCCTAGTGTACTATGACTTATTGTGAATTCTTCTAATTGGGACGTCTAGAAATTATTTTAATTAATTCCACATTATTCTGGCTCGTTAAATATAAGATACTGAAAAGTTACTTCCTTCATTTTTTTTCTTTTTTCTTTTTTTTTCCTTTTTTTTTTCTTTTGTTTTTTTGTAAATTCCAAACTTTTTCTAAGAAATGCTATCTCTTGCAGGTAGCGTACAACATATTAATCCTATAAAATACAAAAACTCTTGAAGAAAAATGAGACAATAAATTCTCCGAGTATCATTTGCAGAAAATATTTATATAACAAAATCTTCCGTTGCTTCACTGATATTTTCAGAATCGGAAGCTTATACAATATGAAAGGACACAGCAGAGGCACTTACTTTTTTAATTTGCTTATGTTGGCCCCTCTAGCAATGTCATGCCTTTATTCCAGAGAAGTACTCATCTAACAGTTACATTCAGTATGTTATACTCTATTATTCTCTACGATTTGAACTTGTTCAGAAGTCTATTCCATGATGAGAATTGAATTAATATGTCAATAATTCTATCCTTTTCCATATTCATATTTTCACCAAAATTCTTAGAGAACTACCCTCTCCGGTGAAGCAGAGGGAAAGTGCCTGAACCCCAGTATAGTATTAACCTCAAGAACTAGCCGATTGCTCAGGGGAGAAGATGACCTGGCTTCCCAGCATAAATACGATCCCCTAAAACACAAAATTATGAAGATAGCAAACGATTCTGATTGCACTCCCGAAAGGAGATTAAATTCCCTGTTGCAAGAGAATGAATTCAACACACAATTCAATACAACTAAGTCCACTAAAAGTGTTCAAAGGTTGGACAATTCTTATGATTCCAATGAAACATTTCCTAATTATGATAATTTTGCTGATTCATGTGGAATTATTGATAATAGTGACGAATCATTTGTTGAAATTAACTATCATGATGAACATGTTGAAGTCCATAATAGTGACTCTACTATCTACAGCGAAGTACAATCATATAATCCTGTAGAAGACACATCACCTACGATCTATAGCTATAGACACAGAAAAAAATCTATCTTCTCAAGTTTATTTAAATTACTGAAAGAAGTAGATGCGGAATATGAAAGGGCAATATACAATACACTGAAGAATAATGTACCTCATTATATTCAAGGTATCCTAGGTCCTAATATATCACAGAGAACAATAGAGATTATTAAGATCCTTACAATTTTTTTCCCTGTGTTACTACGGCTCTCAGTAATATACACTTCAGTCGTATTAAATATGTTTGCAGTGGTTACCGTAATAGGAACACTTATTAGTATACCATTTCTTCCTTTCCTCCCGTTAGTCCTGTACATTTTTTACAAATACGATAATTGCAAATACTTGACTGTATTATTTTAATCATGTATATTCTCAGGAAAACGTCATCTAGGATGAGAAATATAGAAAGAATGTCCATAAACCTTCGTAGCTAATGCACCCTCCTCTATAACCTACATACACATTTCCCCTTTCAAACTTCCAGGAATATGGACTACCGGTATATATATCCGTCGGATCTGTAAAAACTCTTCATTTTTAAGTAGTCCCCGCTTCCCAACTACTTCTCTCCTCTAGGGGTTGGTATTCTTCCCCTCATATATTTACCACTCGCATATTAATCTGTTTCGTATCCTATTAATTCTGTACGAGCTGTATTAAAAATAATGCTTTTAAACAGCATGTTCCACTTTATCCCTCTGATTACTCTGTATTGTGCATATATGTCTTTAAAAAGTTTCAATACTTAAAATTCTTAATTTCTGACATATCCACTATGATTAAATCATTTAGAACATTTTCTTGTTCTAAAAACGTTCATTTGGTTACCAGTGGCCAGACTGTATCCATTAATTAAATTTAGTGGTTAGTATTTGAGATAAGGAATCTGTTCACTAGTCACTAACGCCTATCAATGTACGGAGGCAGTACGTATGGGAATTGTGACGTTCTATAAATGGATATATATATCTTTAAATTTCTACACTTTCATATATTGATTAATTCCCTTTCAATTATATGAAGAACTTCAGTTTCTCCATTTCAATATCAGTTATATGATTATATAAAATAGAATAGTTGAAGTTACTATATGTCCACATATAATTGTACAGGGCACAAAAGGAAGCCTTCATGAAATACTTCGCCGCAGTCCTGTCCATCACGCTATTGGGGTTGCGGCAAACTTAACATATATGAAGAACATTCTACATGACGCTACTTTACTTTTGTTTTTCATTTTCTCCCGGATGAACATAGCTACTGTTTGGTTTTTATAAATGAAATTTGTAAGACCACTCTAATTTTTGAGATCTCATAGTGATTGGTTCCATTTACATTGACGAAGGGTATGGCTTCTTGTATGATTTTCGTTCTCTGTTGTATTCGTTTATTCCTTCATTCATCTGCTTGGGTCAACAGGCGTTTCCTGCTTCCCTTTTCTGAGTGAAACGCGCTGCTTTTTGGGTTTCCTGGAAATGGAATATTGTATTTATCAGTTTCAACATAAGCTGTTAGCTGTGTCTCCTGTTATTCGTGAAGGGGGAGTTGTTGCTAAAAAGACAGTTGATGATTCGTTATTAGAAATGAATTTCACATTTTGTTTACTTATCGCTAGTATAACCTAATTTGTAAAAGTATGAATGTAAATTATTCTGCGGTATACCGTGGCCAACATTAGTAGCTGTCCTTTGTGGGTATTTGTCCAGCATGATCTATTAGAAGATAAGGGAAAATTATATTCCCTCTGTTTCTCATTATAATGAGATTATCATTTAATCCGAATACCTGGCACGTGATTCATAAATTTATGCTTGTTTATTAAGGGCTGTTGGGGGAGGCAACTTTTTCACTTGAATATAGGGGTATCCGATATTACACCTCTTTCTTCTCTTATTAAGATTTTATATTTGGTTCATAATTACTCATGGGGACACATAAATCTTCGATGAAGGCTGAAGAATATAATATTTCATCTCATCACTCGCTCATATTAATCTGAGTCACTCCTAACAGGTAGGTTGTTTTGTCCCTTCCCCAATTCAAACGGCTTAGAAAAAACGGAGCCCATGTAAGATTCGACTTTGTTTTTCCTTTTCCTGAATATAATATTCAGAACAATTAGAACTCATTCGTACATATACACAAATTCTTGCACTACCTCTCGTCCCTACAACCTGGGGCATTTAACACATTAATGTATAATGTGTTTCATTTTCCCTCTGTCCATGAAATTGCTCATATGTCTCATCTGTGTGGCTCTAACTGGACATAAACTGTGAAGAGATGTTATAGAAAACTTATAAAAGAAACAAGGGGGAAATTTAAATGGCTTACATGCGTCTATAATGCCGAAAAAATTGATCTGCAGGCAATTTGAGAAAGAACTTTCTATTTGGTACTTTTGTTTTCTCTATAAAGCCCCATTCTTGTAAGTAAAGGAAGGGATAGAAAAAGAAACATTCAGCACAACTTGTTGTTTTCTTGTTCTTTTTTTGGCTTTTTCCTTTCCTATTCGCTCAACCAACGGTACTTTGCGGGAATTTAAGGCATCCGCAATACTTTTATATATACTCCGCAAAATATTGTTCCCCTTATTTCCAATTGTTTACAAAAAAAAGAAAGTGCAATTTTGTTAATTGCAAAAGCTACTAATGCTAATACACACTTTAAAAAAAAACCTCGCGCGGTCTAATATTTTTGGTGTTACTTTTCAGTTGAAATATTTTCCGGATAAGTTTACTGCTAGAATTGCAACCTTAGCGTACAGTTCAAAACGTGTTCATATACTAAAGCAGTGTTAGCCCTGTCTATTTTATTTATCCTGAAAAATTAAACATAATGCGCGAAAAATAGCATAGCTTGGTAAAAATATCGCCAACATATATATTTGAGGCCAACTCTACAGCATGATTTCGGACTCTAAACAATCTTGGAACTCATCAGGAAATTGAGTAAAAACAATATCACATAAACTTTATACATAGCCACACCACTATTGCACCTATTTCTTCATGACATCTCTGCAGTGTCTGGATCTTTCCTTTCATAAGACAATATTTATTTATTACATGATGTTTCAGAACATGCACACATTATCGGTGAGGATATCAAGGATGGCAAGGTTATGTAAAACGAAGAGGTCAATACAATAAACAATGTAATATAGGGAAAATTACTAGTTCTGAATATTCACCTTTAACCTATATTATGAGTGATCGCATTCAACACCGGGATTTCCTTGCGAGATATATAAAAACAGATTTCCTACCATTCTGAATAATAATAATAAAGGGAAGGATCACGATAATAACACAAGCATCAAACGTGTTCATTCAAACAATATGCTAGGTGATCTAACACACTACTTCATAAATGTTTTATCACAACTTTCACCCCCCAAGGAAACCCAAGAGACATGTGTTATTTAACTATGTAGAGTTCTTTGACCACCCATTTCACCCTGCCTACATGTTCTGGTTTCCTTGTGAATCCTCACTATTCATACAAAACAATAAGGAAAGATCTAATGAGAACCGTAGGACTTGTGTGCATACTGTTGGGACAGGAATGTGTATAGGTGGTTCACACTGGAAATTCCAATGCGAAAAATGCTGTACCCGAAATTCATTACTTTGGGTCAAGGGAACATATTGCTTGCATACGCTATATACTCCTATTTCGAATGAAAATCTTATACAAACACCAACTATTGATACATTTTCATCGAAATCAGACTCTACTACATGTTCTTCCCCTGACAATCTCTTTCAACGCCCAGGTTATTATTCAAAACTTCCGTGAAATCTTGCCACCCCAAATGAGAGGACGTCACCCATGGAAAAATTGTCAGAGCACCGGTGAGGATTCTGAAATATTTAAGTGCACATCTGAAACGTGGTAGCTCCGTCAGGAATCAAATTCCGCAGCAGATAGGAATGCATCAATATCAACTTCTACTGCAGTTCTCAGTGTTGAAAGCAATGAGACCGGGTAAACACACGGAGAATATAAATGTAAAATAAGTAAAGATTAGGAAGGCGTACTTAAGGTCCGAACTATTCAATTTCCTGATATTGTACGTGCAGATTGAAGGCCTCCTGCATCGGATCCCCCAGCCGCGAATTTTACCGAACGGGCATAACCACCAATTCTTTCCGTCAGTAGGGGCAGTCTTTATTATCCACCTCCATCTGTCCTTTACCTATCAGTTTATGCAAATCTGTCACAACCCACCACACATAAATTCTGCGCTGTGGGGACTACATAATGTCCTTAAGTGCTACGGATGCTCCCCCCTTTGTCCTTATGCTTACGACTTTTGGGACAGGGAACTGGCAATCCTAACGAAACCCCACACGCGGGGTAGCCCCACAAACACGATATAATGATGCCATTGCCTTTATTGAGGTGTTATTTATTATCTTAACAGTCCGGGGTTTCATCATAGATGTTATCCTTCTTATGGGTGTATAGATATATGTATATATATAGGCACTGGGAAAGTAGCATTTAGTGCACTGTCGTTAGTATTTACGGGTCGCCGCGGAACCAAACCTAACCCTCTGTGCCCCTTCGTTCCCCTATCACAGTAGACGCCTCTAAAAGGGGCGTTTCCCCCAAAATACAGAAAGCGCACATCTGGAAGAAGGATACACGTACAGACAGAAATGTGTGGCCATGACTGCGAATAGAAGAGGGATATATGATATGATAATGACCACGTACCACAGCGCGACCGTGAATATGAGTAGTTAATATGTAATTAACACATCCCAAGAAATGTATACATGTAAAATAAGAAAGAATTGCTCCCCAGAAGATTCTAGATATACCTACGGAACTTTTAGTTGAATCAAAAAAGAAGAATGCAAATTGACCAAAGAACATTCCCTCCAAATTGTCGTGCACACATTTATCATAAATGGAGGTGTTATATGTGAAATTAGCTGACGGAGCAACCTAACCGGAATGGATGCATACAACTATGGTGATCTGTACATACCAAGACATTAGTGGAATAGTTTGCAACATAAATACTCGTACACTCTTGATATGTTCAAAAGGAACAGTTAGTTCCACAATTTACAGAAAGGACGCAAAAGGGAAGAACAATGCGTTCAAGGACATGTAATGTCCGAAAACAATCAATTTAACGAGGAGCCACAAGCTCTTTTCATACGAACAGAAGGAAGTGTATGTAGCAATTAGGTTTTAAAACAGCCCATACGTATGAAACAGTACATTCCAGATAGTTTGTCTGATAAAGTTATCAGGCTCTACCGAAAAGACACAACCAACTATGTAATACATGAGACGACTGATAACCCGTCGGGAACAAGATGCCATAAAGAAAAACGGGAGGTGCATAACCACGAAGGGTGTGTACTTACAGATGAGGGACTACATACGGAAGTGTTGATAACGCTATTCATGATGCTACTGGATGAATGCAAAGAGCAATAGAATTCACAAGACGTGAAATTGTACCTGGGTAGCCACATATGAAACTGTTTGAACGAGGAGAACATAGAAACATCCCCAAATATAGCAGATACACAAAGAATTTTTTTTGACATGTCAAGAAGAAAAAGAAGACACGCTGAGTATAAGGAGCAGACATTTACAGGCCTCATATAGAAGGGAATAAACAGACAATAACACAAGAGCGGTCACCATCATGATTATAACGTAGCCGGAGGAAAGAAGATTCAGAGGCGAAATATGACACGCATACTTATATGTTACATTGGAATGGTGTTCCTACGAATGGCCTAAAATGCGATGACCTCAGACAGCTTTGATAAATACAGAGTACAGAAGCAGGGGGGGGACTGCTACCCGGGAAAGGAAAGGGGCACATACTTTCAGACACACGGACAAGAAGTAAGTGAAATAGTTAACAAATTAGGAAGATAATTAACCCTACTGCTGGTCACAATTGGAATGCGAAACATATGTCAAAAAGAGCTCAAGAATTGCGACTCATCATGGGGGAAACATATATGGAGGCCGCGAAATATTTCATCTACCATTATATGCCCCATTCATCTTGAATGTCGGGGTGGATAAATTTTCCGTAACATACAAGGGAGAAAAAATGTCCAAATGGTGAATGCATAATTTCCTATTTGTAATAATCCCCTAGAAGGATCCTGAGATTGGTCCATTTCTTTGTCCTCTTAAATACTCGTTATACATAACAGCCTAGACACATACGGAAGAAGTCGAAAAACATTATTCTCCTTCTGTTTTATTTACTGAAAAACATGGCATATCGCATTCTGTATTCCCCTGCACGTACTAAATTTGGAGACAATCTTCTATCGGACACACACAAACATGGAATTTATACGAAATGCTCACTCTCATCCGGATGCTTCTGTACGAAACAAGGCAGGACTCATTCAAGACACCGCAGCAGCAATCACACATTGATAAAATATCCTTAGAGATAAAATCATAAGTTAACAGTAGAAAAAGAAGAAGAGCAAGCAGTTATAAGTACCACAGCATTCTGGAAGGCCAGGATGTCCACTCCTTACATATCAGATCAGTCTGCCGTAAAGTTGTAATTACAAAACCGCCTATCATTCATTTATGAACGTAAATAGAAGTTATGCCATCTTTTGGATCTGTATATTGCTCCAATGAGAGAACAATTAATGTATGCGCTACTGAAAGAACTGAGGGCATTTCTAATAGTATGAAAAAAGAGGGAGCTTCCTGGTTATATCTTTGCGAAACGGGATTCATCAAATCTGACACGGAAGAGGAACATTTAGAAATATGGTATCGCGGGAACAGGCATGTCTTTTCCTAAATTGTGATCATAATATAACGCATCAGGGAAAATACCACGGTCTTTGTTGACATCCTTGCTTGATCTTACCAACATATATATATATATTATGGTAACCCCTGCATTATATGGAGATGTGTCAAATTACAAGGTGACCCCCTCGTCTGATTCCTCTTATTATTTGTGTTATATCTAATAGAGTATTCGTATGTACGTCAAAACTTACATTTTTACCCTCTTCTTATCATCTCTTAAAGGGTTATCCTGCTTAGGGAAGTTTCGCCTTCGATCTCTTCTGATCCCGAAGCTGTTATATTTTGAATCGGCTCCGCGCTATTCTTTGTTTTCATATATTCGTCGCACAGATATACATAGTGTGTTAGACAGATAAACAGGATTTCCTCATCCTTTATCACCAGAATGTCGTATATTCCGCCACGGAAAGATTCTTCAGCTGCTTATAGTTATATATATTATTCCACCTGATGGGGCCGCTCTTATTTCTTCTTTTTTTCCTCTATTTTTTTCGCTTTCCTTTTTTTCCTTCGTTTGTTTTATTTCTTTTTTTTTGTTCCTCCCTTCTTTTTTATTTATTCTTTTATTTCTTTCGCTTTCCTTTCTCATTCTTTTTCTTTTCTTCCTCCCTTTATATATGTGACTGCTCCGTTAATATTATAATTTCACAGTCGACTTCAAAAAGTACTCCTACTTCCAGAACAATCGACAGCGCATGACATAAAAATGTGCGAATAATTTATTCCATTTTGGAAAGCATGTAAAAAAATTCTTAATTATGTTAAGGAACTTTAGAATGAACTCCTTGTTTTGTAATAGAAAAAATATTTTACTGATAACACTCTATTTAAATTAAACAACGCGCATACATATGCAGAATATTTTCTATCATTTTTAGGGCCCCTCCTCTTAAATAATTTCATGCGTTATCCATTACATGAATATCGTAACTGGGTTGTGGCATTTTATGCTATCAAGGGGTCCCCCAATGTATTATCTTAATATTTACCTGGATTTATTCTAACCCCCTGACATGGTATTAAACAATGTGTCCTATTCTTAGGGAATAACATCATCATATTTTAAACTCTTCTTTTCTCTTTGTCTATATTTTATCATTTTTCAAGTTTCTTAATTACGCTTTTGATGCTGTAATATTAATAACCATACTTCTACGACTTTATCACGGCAGACATTATGTAGCAATGGCTTATGTGCCATGTAAATCATCTTTCAACATGTACACCCTCCTTAGACATTAATTTCATTCCATTTAAATTCACCAGTCGACGCAGGTCAGATTACCATCTACTTTCCGCTTGTTCATTCAGACTTCCCTGTCTTATTGGAAAGGAATTTCTAAAGAACAATCTTAACTCATTTTAAAACGATCTACTATCCTTAGCGAATTCTCTTTCTAAATGCCTATTCGCTTCTACTTAGCAGATTGGACTGTTATATTATACAGAATTACATGTATTACTTCATTCCTTAACGTTCTAGTTATCTCACGCGTAAAAGTACATAAAGAACTACAGTTATAGATACATTACTTCTCTCTACTAAATGGCATGTAAACACGAACAGAAATGTAATTTCATTCCTAATTGCGAACGGTTCACTCTCAGACAACAATTTTAAGGGAAGAAATTATAAAAATGTAATTCTCTCAGGACGGAAGCGACATATATATAGAACATTATCACTTCTTAGAAATAGAAATTCAGAAAAATGTACCTCCTTTATAGATAAACTACCAATATAAGTAGCTTCTATATTTGGCATAGATATCCTTGCTTTTTTGCTGGATTTCTATTGACGCGATATGTATGTCACAGATGCTATATTATGGAAGAGTCCGAAACGCTATACTTCTTTTTTTTGCTCTTCATCTGGGCTCGATGGGCCGTAAGATTATGAGATCTCGATTCCTCCAAGTGAATTTGTTGGACTATAGCATCGAAGCGAAGCATACGCTTTTCTCCTTTCCCTTGGTACATTATTAACCTGCGCGATAGCTATTGGCACTGGCATATCTATGTGGAAAATCATTCGTCTTATCACTCCTTTGTGTAACTTGTTCCACTTGACAAATTGCATTTTTAGTTGGCTCCTACTGGAATTATTCTTGCTTCGAATTCTTTCTTCGCAATGGTTTCTAAAGATTCCTTGAATTCAGCAGCCTCCTTGTTGCAATTTTCCAAGAAATTAGCAAATTCCTGTTTTGTCATCCCATCTTTGATGATGAAGCCGTTGAAAAGATTACTGTATTGGTGTTCTTTCTCCTTTAGTACATCAAAACATTTGGACATAACTCCACTCCAATGACTGAAAAGAGGTTCATCATCTACTTGATGTTTCTTCATTAACTTTTCGGAATATTCGAATAAACCATTTATCAATTTGTAATATTCTTGTCCCTCCAGAGCATATGCCCGCTCCCATATTTTCATAATTTCATCCTTTGATGGTACTTCTTCCATATCCTTCATCAGTTCGGTTATCTCCTCCTTCTTCACATTGCTAGTAAATATCGCCTCCTGTTCCCAGATGGTAGGCAAGAAAATATTATAGAAGTCAATTTCTCCATACTTTTCTTCAACATGTTTATCTGAGTTTCCTCCTTCTGGAATTATTTTTGCTTCGAATTCTTTCTTCGCAATGGTTTCTAAAGATTCCCTGAATTCAGCAGCCACCTTGTTGCAATTTTTCAAGAAATTAGCAAATTGCTGTTTTGTCATCCCATCTTTGATGATGAAGCCGTTGAAAAGTTTACTGTATTGGTGTTGTTTCTCCTTTAGTACATCAAAACATTTGGACATAACTCCACTCCAAATACTGAAAAGAGGTTCATCATCTACTTGATGTTTTCCCATTAACTTTTCGTAATATTCGAATAAACCATTTATCAATTTGTAATATTCTTGTCCCTCCAGAGCATATGCCCGCTTCCATATTTTTCTAATTTCATCCTGTGATGGTACTTCTTCCATATCATTCATCAGCTGGTTTATTTCCTCCTTTTTCACATTGCTAGTAAATATCGCCTCACGGTCCCAGACGCTAGGCAAGAAAATATTATAGAAGTCAATTTCTCCATACTTTTCTTCAACATTTTTTTCTGAGGCTCCTCTTAAACATCCATTTTCATTTAATTCGGCTAAGTTTCTTCCTTGTATTTGGGCCATTATCCTGCTTCTCATAGGGGTTATCCCCTTCGAGGATTTCATTAAGGAGGGTTGGAATGACAGGTGGCGTACACATTAGGCATATTTATAATACTTATAGTTCAGATATATAGACTATCTCCAGCATCTAAACATGGGAAAGCAGCAAGTAGTGGAGTCCATGTAATGGCAGAATCAGAAATTTCGACAGGGTGCTGATTATTTATTCGTGAAATGTTTACTCCATATAGCTTACTAGTAGCAACATATAAATAGCGACAACGAAAAGTGCAACTGAGCAGGAGGGAAAAAGGAATCTTCGGAAGTTAAGGCCAGGGGAGCCTGCCTTCTGCAGCAGTGTGGCGGGGAAACATTTTCCGTTCCTTCCCTTATTCTTAGTTGAGCAGCCGTCAGCCGACGCAGAATTGGATCTGCTGAGAGTATCCATAGTGTTCTAATTTAATTCCTGTGGTGTATATAAGTATACTAGAAAGAGGTTACTACGTGTGCGAATATTTTTCTAAATCTATAACTTAGGGCGGCTTTCTTATTCTCTCAGAAACTATGTTAAAATACTTTGAAATATATTCAAATATGCTAATCTATCTTAAGATATGATATAGAATATGTTGAAATATTTTAAGCTACATTAAAATATGTAATAAAGGATACTTCATAAAAAGTTTGACAACTACAAAATTTTTAAGAAGAGCAGAAGCACTTATTTAAATAAATTCAGGCATTCCTGAACATATTTTTAACCAATAGTAAAAAAAAAAAAAGGAAAAAACATCATAGAAGATGTATAAAATTTATTTCCTCCATCATACCTGCATTTTTGTTGAAATACTTAGGAAAAAGAACCAAATCTATCCATTGCTTCTAAGGAAAATAGCCAGGTGAGCAATTATATGAAGGCACCATCCTGCTTACAATATTCTTCTTCGCCCATCTCTCCTTGCTAAAATCTGGCAAATAGGGGATAGAAAGTAGTCAACAAATATTTTTCTGTATATTCGACGATACAAGCCTCTGAAGAATAACTTCTCTACAGAGGCGATATCTACATTATAGCACTTCCTACTCTTCTTCTTATGCTCACATTTTATAGCTATACATATGGAAGTATTATTTATGCATTCCAATTAAGAAGAAATGAGACCCTTCTTGTATTAGGCAGGGTAAAATACGAAAGAAGCGAAACTACCTTGTTATGTGATCCTCCTTCTGCTGTTGAACGATAGTGAACAGGATGCAGATGACCTTTAATTTAAATCTGGAAGATTTAAAAGAAGGTATTAAATATATGTATTATTCAGAGGTGTTACTGCAGAGCAGGACCAGCCACCGTGTCGATCGAACTTTACTATCATGGACAGTCTTCATTTTTTTTTTCCTTCTTTTTCGGGAAAATCCTATCATGTTTGGCCCCTCCAATCTTAGCCCTCTACAGTCATTAAGGTGAAGGGAAGATTGAAAGCGTCGTTGTAGTGCTTCGGTAATTGAAACTGGCAAGTGTGCAAGACGGAAGCGGAAACACCGGTAGCGCCATCGGGGGGATTTTGTTTACAATGAGGCCTTTGTGACTGAATGGGGCAGTCAGGAGAAACCTGTTGGAGGCTTGTTTCTGCCTCACGCGTGTGTTAGGACTGGCAGAAATAGACAGCTATGAGCATAAATAATTATTATTGCTGCAGGAGAGTGCAGCATTCAGTGAAATAAGCGACATAATGCGAACTAATGTGGGCCTTAATGATTACCACACCTGTATCTCCAGTAGCGAAGTTTCCGCTGCTGTAGAGAGAAATACCAGGGGGGATTCATTCTCACACACCAGGAGAAGAGGGGACTACCATAAGTACCAAGACCTCTAGGACCATCACTCTAAAAAAAACAGAAAAACACTTGTCCGTCTCGTTAAAATAATAATTGGTTCCTAAATTACACAACTTCTTGTTCTTGTTTTGACTTCTCCCATAACACAAATTATGAAATCTTGTTCTTCATGAAAGCACTTCTGTGTAAATAGGTAGCTAAAACGAAAAGAGTGGAAAACTAAAATGAAGCCCCCCGGGGAACAATTGTTTAGGTAAGGATGGCCAAAATTCTACGCAAACAGACAGGAAAAAAAAGAGAAAAAAATCATGAGTCTGGAGCTACTATCGCAAGGTGAGTCATTAAAGCGAGAGAGTGCAGCATATCGTTATAATATATATATAGAAACAAATACAAAAAAGGAAGCTACATGCATGCATGCCTTTATTTATTTTCCAATTTCTTCATGACAAGAGAAACTCGATAATACGATTAAGTCATGGGAAACACTATGCCTCCGGGGTTTATTAACCATTTATGACAGAAAAATGTGGCAGTCCTATGGCGTGAGGGGGAAAGCTTCTGTAAATTTCTCCCCCAAAATACTGTAGTGTACATATAGCGACTTCTCATTGGAGAAATTTTTTTACACACATTGTTCATGAAACGTTCTGTATATTCTTCCATCATTAGGTTTTGCGGCCCATTAATACCCTTGTCTGCCTTGTATTGGTCTCATCCTAGGGATACCATCATTCTGCGGAGTTCGCATCACAAGGACACCATCCCTTATTATGGATCGGCTCACTTCGGCACCATTTTGGAGTGGCCTCCTGGCGCGTTCTCTATCTTTGTTTCTATCTTCATCTCTATATTTGTTTTTAATCGACTTGTTAACTTTGCGTAACTTACGTCCAAGGTAAATGATTAAGATAGTGTACGAAACGAGAAAGAACTGGAAAGCCATCGGGGAACCTACGGCCATCATTACTTTTCCATATATAAGCATTGCCTAAAGTTGGGTGAAAAATCTTAATATGGAAGTAGCGCCTTCTAATTTGTTACAGGACGATTTCTCCCTTTGAGAATATTGACTATGGCCTCTTGCGTGTGGAAGAAAGGAGTGAAGTAATGGCTCCTTGACTTGTCTGTCAATGTTTTCAGAGAAATTGTCTATCGAATTGGATGATTCGCTTCTCTCGCCAAAGTCACTCCCTGTCTCTCCGGATGATTTCTCCCTTTGTCGGACCCCTGGCATGCTACGATTTTGGTAATGTTGTTGTCCTTGAGATCTTTTAGCCCATGATCCTGTGCACATTCGCTCTTCGTCGCTGTTAGTGTCGCTTGGCTCCCTGATTGTTTTTCTGAGGTTGTCCTTTACACGTCTCTTTGGTTTTTTTGTAAATATCTCTTCGAATTCGTCTCCGTCGTAATAAAATTCAGACTTTTCCCCGTGCTGATAGTAAGCAAATTCCTGCCGGTCGTCATTGGCGCTTACTCCAGAAAGGTAGTAACTCCTTCTCTGATAACAGTCTTGGTCTTGATCCCGATAGTCTTCATCCTCATGGTCTTCATCTTCCTCATCCTCATCGTCATCATCCTCAGTGTCATCATCCTCATCGTCATCATCCTCATCGTCACGACCCTCATGGTCACTGTCCTTCCTGTGATACATCCCATCATGGTTATGGTAGTCCTCTCCTTCACCGAAGGAGTAAAATATTCCTTTAAACTCCTTTTTTATTCCTGATGCCTTTAAAATTATCCGTGGTGAATTCTTTATATTCATTAGCAAATAAGTTCATATTTTTTTTGATGCTGCCAAGTTTGACGTCGGCACAGCCTTCTTCTATGTTGTATTCGTCATACCAATTTTTGACCTTGGTGAAGAGCTTATCACCTACCAAGTCTATCGGAATTTTTTCAGTCATCCGCTTGTATATTGGTTTCTCGGGGACATCTAACTCTCATTTTAGCATTCTGCCGGCGGAGAGAGGGCGAAATTAAACCTCAGGGGGGTGTTGCATAGGGTGACAAAAGGAAGGAAATGAACAAAATGAATGAAATGAAGGGAATAAACGGAATGCGCTGAATTAACTAAATGAACGGAATCAAGGCGATTCCATGTTTACAGAGATGCATAATTATAGGAAGGGGGGGAGTATTTTCCAGTGCAGAGACTCATCAGCCTGCATAGCGACATGTTTCATTTGCTAGCTCTGCTGGACGTCACATTTTTATCCGCGTAATGCCAAGTTTCAACAAGGAGTGCTGCCCCCAGAGTTATAATAGATCGTGCTGACATATTCATTTTATTTTATTTATTTAGTTATTAAGTTATTTCATTTTACCTTATTTTTTTTCTCCTATTTTATTCTGTTCTATCTTTTTCTGTTTTATTGTACTTTACTCCGTTTTATTTTATTCTATTTTATGTTATTTTTATTCCCCGTTGTTTTGGAAAAAAATATTCTTCAGGAACTGTTTAGGAAAAAAATTGAAAGCTAAATAAAGGCAAACATACCTCGACAAAATCCTTTCCTAAATTATTTAATGAAGTTCGGCTGCTCCTTTTTTTTT